TGATGGTTTTAGCATTTTCATTTTGTGTCTAACCAGATTTGCCCAAAGTCGGAAAATAAATCAAGGTGTGGACTTAACAGTTCGCTGGCATTTTCCTTTTGAGTAGCTAGCATAGGAGATAAAAGTGTATTGTTGATGCGGACCCTGAAAGATATAGTTAAATTTTCCATTAGTTTAACGTAAGACTGGACTTTGAGCTTTCAACTTCCATGTGCTAAATTTAGCGTCATAATACACAGCCCCACTTCCTGCTCCCACCTCCAGCAAGACTTTGTGATGGTTATCATTGCCAGAAGTAAGGCAGAGAGATTGATGACAGTGCCTGCATTGCTTTAAGAGCGTTTGTTCTGTATAGCTGTCTGGAGTGAACTCCTTGGTCCAGAGGTTCATCTGGACACTGTGTGGGTTGTATGTGCAGAAATCACCAGGGGAAGAGGTGCATGCTGCTGGTGTTGATGAATGACTTATTTACAAATCAAATTAATCAGGAAAAAATAATAGACGCTCTCGGAGTCTTGAGGATGTATTCAGCATATAAAGACTGGATGCTTTGTGGCTTTTTTCTTTTTCAGTAATGTCTTGATTAGTTTTTGATACTTTCAACAGAAGTCATATTCATCTTTCTTCCCCAGCTCCTCACAGATCATCCCCCAGCTCCCTACCCACCCGACTCTGTGTTCTCCCCTTCACACAATTCATGGAATAGAACAAAATCAGTTGAAATTTCTTAGAGCCTAGTATGATTCAGCCTTAGTTGATTGATTTTCTAACTTTCATACATTGATTTGCTCATCTTCTGGCAAGATTTCGTGTAGACGGAGTTTTTGGCCTTCTCGGTCCCACAGCCATTTAGTCCCAAATAAACACACCGAGGCGTATATTAATTATATACTGTTTGGCCTATGGCTCAGGCTCCTTATTGGCTAGCTCTCCTTTAGTTATTAACCCATTTCTATTAAGCTATATATTGCCACAAGGTTGTGGCTTACTCGTAATACTCCCAGATATTACTCCTGTGGTGGCTACACGGAGTCTCTCTGATGACTCTTTCTCTGCCTTTCCCCCCCCAATTAAGAACTCCATTTACAATTATGTATGTCCCAGGTAGTTTGACTGTAGACAATAATTATTTCCTTACTTCCTTCTTTCATTCCTTCCTTCCTCCCTCTCTCCTTTTCTTTCTTACTTCTTTTCTTTCTTTGCTTGCTTCTTTCCTTCCTCCCTCCCTCTCTCTCCCTCTCTGTTTCTCTCTTTCCTTCTTTTTTTATTTCCTTCTTCCTTCCTCCCTTCCTTACTCCCTCCCTCCCCCCCTCTCTCTTTCTCTTTCTTTCTCTTGTACTCTCCCTCTTCCTTCCTTTCTTCCTTCCTTTCTCCCTCTCTCCCTTCCTCCTTCCCTCCTTCCCTCCCTCCATCCCTCCTACTCTCTGTCTTTCTTCCTTTCTTTTATTTCCTTGAGGCAAGATCTCAAGAAAATAAACTATGGCCTGGAACTCACTATGTAAACCAGGGTGGCCTTGAACTTCTGATCATCCTACCTCCACCTCTTAAGTGCTAGGATCACAGGTATGTGCCTCAACACCTAGTTTTTGTTTGTTTGTTTGTTTGTTTTAGCTCGTGTTTTGTGTAGGGTCAGAAAATGCAGAATATTTGTCTAATCAGAGCAATTTCTTCTTTTAAATGTGGTCAATTGTGATCTAATTCTTGGGTTTGACTTTACATTTTCAATTCACTGTATTTATGAGTTCTTCCTTTATATAACATGCTGTAGATTCTGTGATTTATCTGTATTCTTACCTCGATGTAATGAGTTCAACCATTTTCCAACCTTTGGGGTTTTGCTGTTTTGGTTTTGAGAGAGTGTCTCTCTTTGCCACAAAGGCTCTAGGGTGCTCCTAAGAGCTGTCTCCTGGGAGGTGGATGTGGTGTCATTGTGCTTAGATGCTTTTTTTATTCTGGTGGCAATTTGTGGTTGAATGAAAGGAAATAAACCGATAGACGCTTCAAATTGGTGTGGAATATGAAAACTGCCCTTTTTGAAAGCAGCACTAAAAGCCACAATCTTGGCTTTCTTTTTCTTGCTCTTGACCCTACTGCAGTAAAGCTTACACCAACACAATAGACATACAAAGTGAGGTTCATTCATTCTCTCAGGGGCACGAATGACTAGATGGGTATGTCAGCGATGATCAGATTCCCTAAGGCAGATGTGCTGAATGAATCTAGTCTTTTTTCCAGGCTTGAAGAACACAGATTCTTCTCCTTTTTTTTTTTAATGGTTCCATCTTGTGAAGTTAGTCATAGTGAAGTCTGGAGGCAAGAAATGCCTCCTAATGGCCCATGCCGGGGCTCTGATTTAATCATCAGAATGGGTCCTGGGTGTCTCCTAACATTCTAGAAACCCACAGAAATGTCCATAGACTGAATTTTGAGCATTTTAAAGCTTTCTATCAGCTTTTAGATCTTTGTCTTACAGTGCTGTTTATTATTAAAGCAACCAATCAGCATATGTGTGCACTGTAACCACCAGCATACAGCAGGTGGCACAATTCCTAATGCACTCTTACAGTGATAGTCCTACCCAGGACACAGCTGAAGAGTGTCTGCCCCCTTCCACATTGCCAGTCTCACAACAGTCTCCAAACAGGGTCATTAATTTAGCTTTGGGGAAAGGATAACATGGTAGATACATCCAAATGGGTGAATAATACATTGTTAAAAAATCATTTGTCTAGAGAGGCACTGATTTTCTAAAAACATAAGCCACAAATTATCAGTGGTGATTTATGATAATAACCCTAAATGAGTATATTAAACACTTCCCCTGGTCCCTACAGTTATGACTTCTAAGGATAATGTCTTAAGAGTATCGTTTTAATGATAACCAGAGCAAAAAGGTGGAAAGTTTCCCCTAAACTCCAGAGGGTGCTACTTCACCTGTTGTCAGTCAGTGTCAGATGAGGGCTTCTGATCTGGAGGCAAAACTCTGCTTCGTATGGTGATGTCTTATATCTTGACATTCTTCTCTGTTTTGCGATGATTTAAGCTTAGTGTTATGAAGCAGAGCAACATCTTTCAAAGTTAAAAACTGTCTCTACTGCCAAGTATATAAGGATGCTGCAATAAATAATTTTCAAGAATATGCAAGTAACTAAGTAAAATACACCTGTAAAAGCATTTACATTCAGGAATTCTGTTCTGAAGTTGTGAAATAGTAGAAAACAAGAAAGGAGCCTAAGGAGCTTACCACCAAGCCTGACAAAAGGGTACCCAAACCACCCACCCCATAAAATTAATAAAAGGCTTTTTTTCTTTTAATGACTATATAAGTATCCTGTTTCCAAAAGTATTGTATTCTAAAGGACTTCAATGTGCCTGAGCAGGAAGGACATAGACACCAGACCCCTAACAGCCAAGATGTGTTTCTTTCTATTGGGTGATAGTCTTCCTTTCTAAGTCATAAGCCAACTTATCATATGACATAAAATTTGGGTTTTTTAGGTTTAAGTTTGCTTTGAACATTATTATATTAAACAAAGTCACTTGGTCTCCCTAAGTCTGGGCTGCTCTACAATGGAATAAAAGGGTTCCTCCACATAGCTCATCCTGTGGTCCAACTTTGGGAGGTCCTGTTGATAGCATATGGCTCTCTTTTGCTCAGTCTTACAGAGTACACAAACTCCTCATTGCTCAGTCCATTCTTCTGTCCCCACAACTGATAAGAATGGTTCTAATCATCAACACATAAAAATATACAAGGATATGAATACATTAATTAATTTGATTTGGCAATTCCATTGTGTAACATCCCTGTTGTATATGAGAGCATACAGAGTTTGTTAAATAAAAAATATGAAGATAAAGCAGTTCTGAAATATTCTGTGGGATTTTTAGTTATCTCAATATTTGTATTATAATAGTATTGTCTATAATGTTATTTAAAAGGCAGATTCTATTTTACCTAATAAAAGCTATGTTAGATTTAAGTTGTTAAAATATCTAAGTAGTGTCAGTAAGCTGTTTTCATGGATTTTGTTTATTACTTTGGGTTATTTTACCTTTTCAGTGTTATAAGCAATACATCTCTATTGACATGTGACAATTTTTCATATCCACAGTGAACAGCCAGTTCTTTCAATACATATATCTATATAGTGTGTAATTACCCATTGACTATAAATAGCATTTCCATAAGCACTTGCCATTTCTTTGTTTTGGAACCCTTCAGTGCCTTTATTCTTATTCTTTATAAAATACTAAATAACTTTTTGTGCCCTATAACCACCTTTCTATTCTATAGACTACTAAAAATTGTTTCTTTCATTTATTTGATATTTTTTTATTTTCTAATTAATTTATTTTTAACATTCCAATCCCAGTTCCCCCTCCCTTGTCTCCTCCCACTCCACCCTCCCTCCTACCTCTCCTTAGAGAGGGTAAGTCCTGCCTCCCCTAGGAGGTCTACTAGGACTGCCCATTATCTCATTGAGGTGGGACCAAGGCACCTCTCCATCCCCCACATCCCTGTGTCTAGGCTGGGCAATAAGTATCTCTCCATATAGAATTGATAGTTGGGTTATTTTTATGCAAAGCATACTCTAAAAAATGATACTGAAAGTATGGAGGGTTAAAGATTGTAGCTTTTCTGATCATAATATAATATTACCTGTGTGAAATCCAGAAAGCAAAGGCTCAAGGGATTCAAGGAAATAAAGGAATTAAATTCTGCTACTAATTCCAAAAATAACTGGCAGTTATCCAGAAGTTTGCTTCAACAGCCATTACAGAAACATTTAAAACCTACTCTACTCTGCCTAGAAAAAAAATTGTAAGAAAGGAAATGAAAAGGCCCGTTTGCCAGCTCTGAGGAAAACTCGGTAGTTTTCAAGTCAGCAAGGCTCCAAGCATTCTGATCCTCAGTGGACTCTGGATCCAGGGGTTTTCTTGGTCTCACCTGGGAGCAGCTGCTCTGGGCTTCACTGACCGGTTTCTTTCTCTTCCAGCTTCCTCCATCCTTAAAAGAGAGAAGCGGCTGAGGACGAAGAATGTGCACTTCAGTTGCGTCACCGTGTACTACTTCACCAGGAGGCAGGGCTTCACCAGTGTGCCCAGCCAGGGGGGCAGCACCCTGGGCATGTCCAGCCGCCACAACAGTGTGCGCCAGTACACCCTGGGCGAGTTCGCAAGGGAGCAGGAACGGCTGCACCGGGAGATGCTGAGAGAACACCTCAGGGAGGAGAAGCTCAACTCTCTAAAGCTAAAGGTGACACATCAGTTCGCTTTTTTGCAAAAATATCATATTCTTGCAGCATCCGAACTAACCGTTCTTATTCATGGACCAGACTATTTTACACGGCAGGCAAGCTACCCATGAAATCTTTTTCTTCTGTTTCCATTATTTTCTTTCTTCTTATAAAGCACTAAGTATACTCTATTCATGGGATACTTATCTAACATTATTTATTCATCCAATTCCACAAATATTTACCACTGTATATGTGTATATATTATTACATCTTGCATGCCTTATGGGTGTTCTTGGACTGGCGCTAGCAGGAAACTAAACATAGATGTGGTTCCCTATCCAGGGGAACTTGAATCAAGTAGTCAAAGGAAATTGCATCAAAATTTCATTCAAGGCTACATAAGAAGGTTGTAAGGTGTTATGAAAGTCTTTGACAGGAATCAGATGTGGCCAAGAAATCTAAGAATGCACCAAAAGAAGGGAGAGAAGATCTGAGCTAGAGACTAGGCACAAAGGATGGCAAGGGGCGTTTGCTGGACCCGAGGCGAGTGAGTTACATGAATGAGGCTGTGGAGCCACATTAAAGTGTCTGTCTCTCTTCACCTTCAGGAAAGCAAACGTTACCACGAGTCTTAAGCATGGGTTGGAATTGTTGTAATAGGGCAGTCATATAACTATGTGATAATATTTTGAAGGTGAAGAAGGCCATGGTAAGAGAGAAGGGTTGTCCAGTCAAACCAGTGGGTTACATGTGGCGGTGAGGCTAGACAGCGTGGTCTTCTTCCCATATGGGAGTTGAAGGATGTTTATGGTGTCAAGAGGTGTGGGGACAGCATCTAGTCTGGAGAAAAATGAAATGCAGAAGATGCACTGACTGACCACCTGTTAATCTATAAAAACATTGTCCCCCTGATACCTAATGACAAAGAGAGTATTTCTGGAGCAGTCCCCATAAACTCGCTCATTGTGTTCCTGAAGCACTATCAGAATCTTTGCCACCTTTACCTTATTTAAGAAATCAATTAGCAGAGGTGTGGCATATGCCTCAAGATAAACATACATCTGCCTCACTTGTCTTTTCTGTTTATATGCCTGCTCTCAATTGCATGCAAAGACAATAAGGTAAACTGTGCAGGACACAAGTCAGGCTCGGGGAAGTCTCACATTCCTTTGGCCAATATCTTTGTCAAGTTTCACTGCAAGTTCCTTATCTTGGTTGTTTTTGTCTTTCTGATTGATTTTCATGTACTTAGTTTAGCAATGATTATTAGCTTGGCTTCTGAACTCCAGCCTTTCTCAGCAAACCAACTCCACTCCCTCCCCAGAGATGACATCAGATTCCAAGTTCAAATATTAATGAATCAATGGTAATGGCTGCCAATCGCTAGGTGATTTTTATTTGCTAAGTATTTTATACATGTGACTGAGTGAATCCTCACCAAGAATCAATGGGATAAAATCATCAGAACATAACTGAAAAAAATACCTCACCTAGTAGGAAACTGGTTGTTATTGTTTTGGTCCTTATTAAATTGATTGACTACCCCATATAGGAAGGCCACCCTGCCCTTTTCCAGAGTGTGCAATTGATTCTAACAGCTGAGTGACTGTAAATCATCTAAGAACGGAAGACTTGCCAGGAGGTCGTGCATGTGATTCTCTGAAGGAACTGCAAGCCACAGCAAGCAGCCTTCCCCACATGAAACAGTGAGCTACTCTGACGCTGTAATTCTTATGCCTCTTTCCCAGAGGCATAACAAACAGCAAGAAAAGAAGAAATGAAAAGAGCGCTCTTGGTGACTCTTTGGTGAAATCGTGCTTAGGGGTAGGTGTGGACAAGTGGACAGGCCAGCAGGTGTCATGCTGGTGGGTGCCATCCCTGTGGTTTCATTTTCATATGAAAACATGTAGCCTTTACTTTGGTTTGCATCCCCTCTTCCAAATGACCATGAAGCTAACAGTTGGGGATTCCGCAGTGATCTGAGCTTAGCCTCTCTGGACTTAGTACACATATACTCAGAAACACATGTTACGTGAGACTAAAACCTCACAGCAGTGTGGATAGGGATTCTAAAATATGTAAGAGGGAAAGCCTGTGTGTTTTCACTGCAATTCTCTTAGCATTAAGTTTCATGTTTTAAAAAAAATAGTGTCATGAATTATACTTGTCTAAGGTTTAATTATCCCCAATCCCAATTTAACTAGCACAAAATGATAGTTGTGCCAAAAATTTCACTGATGCTAGGAATTTTTCTTTTAACACATTTGTTCCCAAGTATAAATTCCTCTGTGGAGGAAATGTGGCAAAATTAATTCCATGGCTTTGAGCGGGAGCAACAGAGAAGCCTTGCAGCAGAAGGGCGGTCCAAAGAGGAGAGAAAGGATTGTTAATGATAAGCTTTGCTGCTGGGCATGGTGACACACACCTGTGTTCTTTGCACTCCAGAGGCAGAAGCAGGATTGTCAGCTCCAAATGGAGTAGGGGAATTAATAAAGCCTTGTTGAGACCTGGGTAGGGGAGGGAGAGGAAGAGAGGGACACTTAGTCCAAATGGATTTTTCCTGAGATGGTATTCTGGGAGTGTCTGTAAACTCCCTGTGGAGGGATCTCTGAAGCAGCATCTGACACATTGAACCTTTCCCAAACCCTCCTGTTGGAGTCACAGTAACTCACTAGGCTTATTTGAAAAGACAAAGGCCTTATACAGCAATGATAAAGTCCTCACACACAATTGCCTCTGAATTTCCCAGGGTATCTGCTGAGCTCCAAACAGAGGAGCTATTTATACATGCGTCTAGAAGTTTCCTTATAATAAACATATTGGAAATAAATCAAGAATAGAAATTTAGTTTTTGACTATAAAATTGCTTTTAATTTGGTAATTCATTTCCTGAGTTACAAGTTATATAGATATCAAGAAATTATATAGAGGTAGATACTTAGATTTGTAGAACAAATCCAATTTTATTGGAGGCTTTCAAGTCTATCGTTTTTTGTTGGCACCGTGGATGTTCCACACATTGACTATAAATAAGTAATGGAGAAAACTAATTGAATAAAATGTGTATTCCTAGAAGAAATAAGTAGCTTTTGGTTTCTAAATTACAGAGTACAGTTTTCCTTTTCCTGTCAAGCCCATTCAGATGTCACACACTTCATGGTAATCAATGCAGTCATCGTAATACTATACTCCTTTGCAAATTAAGTGCTTAGATTTAATAATCCACAGCACACTGTTGAACAATTGCATTGGCCTTTATTCCTATCTCTCTTGTTTCTGGGAAATGCATTCAGCAGCTGTTTGCAGGTTCCCCCGAGGGTTGGTGTCCTAGTTGTCTCATCCTAGAGGACTCTACCACCTTGTTCTGAGAAACTGAGTGTAGATTGTGCATATGTGACCTCCCTCTCCTTGCCAGTGTTTCTACAAACAAACCACTCTTCCTTTACTTCCTGGGATCAAAGCTCCGTTCTTCCACATTTGGGTACCATCTCTAGCTGCTCTCCTGGGTTACACACCCTTCTCAGTTTCTTCATTGTGTGCTCATGAGTCATGCTTGATTACTGACACCTCTTTCCAAATTTAAAGCAAAGACAGTGGCCAGCTTTTAATGATGAATCCTCTAATAACATGTCCATCTAAATCTTTCTCACTCAAAATCTCAGAGTAATGAGTACTGTATTCATTTAGTGACTCACCCAGGCAACATTTTCCACTTCACCTCCAGCTCAGCTCTCTGCATCTCCCCCAAAGTCTTGGGATTGCTTATTCAGGTAAAGAATTTAGATGTCCTTGGAAATACATTGGATTGGGCACTTGTAAGTGCTGGGTGAATTATCTCTTCAACCCACAGTTTCAACATTTTTAGATGCGGTTCTAATTTTCTTCCTTATAGTGCAGTTCATTTGCAGATATGGCTTATCATGTTGGTCATGGTGTGGCTTAAAGCTAATTACTGTTCAGAACTTCACTGTTACACTCTGTAGAGACTGCTGCTGAACACACTAAGTAGCAAAGCTTCTATAATGCATCTTAAACAGAAGCAAGCTTCAGTACCAAATGCAAAATGTTGCTGTGCCAAGTACTTTTCCTGTCTGATCACACATACACAACCTATTTTGACAAATACAGAGAAAGTATACCTAAGCAAAGTGATGGAGACTGACAGGGTGGGTTTCTACTCTGTGTATGATAATGCACTTACAAATACGCTCTTTCAAAATATTCAGTACTTTAGTTGACAGGGAACAATCAAGCATATGTAATCACATCTTTATGTTCTTCCTGTGCAAGTAATGTTACCTTTTTTAATCCAGGAGAAATACTGCATGCATTCTTCTGATTTAATGTGGAGTACACCCAGTGATGTCACTCACTGGAATGAGTTATATTTTCATTCTTCCCTATTGTACCTCAAAATTAGCTAGGAAGGGAATATTTAAGCCCCAGAACTTGTTAACCACGAGGAAGGATAACCATGCCTTCACAGTGTTGATTGCTTAAGTATTTACCAGAATGCTGCTGAATGCATCCTGGCTTATTATTTGACACTGGAAGAGACAATATTGATCTAAGCCAGAAGGAAGGATGCGTTTTAGAAAGGATATGGTTCAGATGTTGGTACTGTTCTTTCTGATGACTTTTGTGGCGATATGGATCCCAAAGACTTCTTAAGATTTCAGACGACTTATTTATTGAGCTATAAGGCCTCATTATGTTGCACAAGTTCTGGCTGAAGTGATCAAATTGGTTTTAATTTGCCACCTGAAGGTCATAGCTAATAAACTGAAGAACTATAAGATTGATGAGGTATCGAAGTGTTATGAATGTTTTTCTTCAATTTGCCAAAGACCTTAAACCTGGCTCATCTTTCTTACCCCATACCACACAACTAGGAATTCTTTTATTCAATATGTGTCTTGTCATGCCAGCCTGAAGTATCCGTCTCTGGTTACCCAGAGTACACTATTTTGTTAAAATAGTGGATTTTATCTTTGTGTCTTTAATGCAGGGGGGTCCT